ATTTTTTTTTCTTAATGTTTTTTTCCTGATGATTCCCCCTTGCCCCTTCAAAATTTTGGGGGAGACATTCTGAGTATTATAAAAGAAAAGTTGTTTTTTTTAGTCGTTGCCATATTTTGACGCTAGGCTTTAAAACCTATCAAAGTGCATTAGACGGAGAGTAGAAATGTTAGAGGGAATTATGAAGAAATAATAAAGAGGTTAAGATGGTTTTAATGCTTTTTTTTAAAACCCTCCATTTACTGTAAACTATAACAGGTAGACACAGTGCTGGTGAGGACACGCAACATGTAACAGCAAAAACATGATGGGTCAGTAAAGTGTTTTGTGCAATAAAAAGAGTCCACAAAGTAACCCACTGTATACACATCATACTGCCACAATCGTTGTTTTGCTTGGAAAAAATTACCTGGCTTATGAAGTTTAAAATTAGCCATAATGGCTTTTGCCCTTACAGGGCCAATCACATCAGCGGTCTACAACCCCATGTTCGAAGCCTCTCTTGATAGCAAAAATAGCTATGATGTGTTTGAATTTAAAGAAATTCCCTGTTCTATGTCCCCTATCTGACAAAGTGTTAATAGCATATCTGATGTAGGAAAGGATTTATTCCCCTAGAGCTAGATTTGACTCAAGAGATCAAGACTATGAAAGTTAAATCAGCAAATATAAAAATTAAAGTGTGCACATTTATCCCATCCTCTGCTACTTTCTTCTTTCATACCATTTTAATGATTACATCCAGTGATACCATGTACTCTGAATGTGCTTATCCCTCAGTTCCTGTATTCTACCCTCAAGTACAGCTTACAGTCTTCCCACCCCTTGGTCTGATCTTGTTAGCTCCTTCTCTGATTAGTGTCTTCACAGCCTGCCCCTTGGTCAGTCATTCGTCGTAGTTTCCTCAGAACTCCATTAGTAATTTCACAAAGGCAGCTGCTCAAAAGGTAACTGAAGCCCAAATGCTCCTACCAGGTGCTCTGCCAGCCCTTCTGCAAAAACCCACCAGCTATTCGTCCCTGATGGGCCTGAGTGCAGTTGTAGAGCTGATGCCCTCTCCTTAGGCTACGTGTACACTGGAACTGCCGTAGACGTTAACTCTACTGGCAGCAGAAAAACGCTAAATGAGACAAAAAACACATGTAAATGCAATACCACGTTTTGCCGCTTTTAGCGCTTGGACATTTTATTCTTTTCATTGGCCATTGAAATGAATAAACATCCAAGGGATAAACGCAGCTAGCGCTTTGGCATGTTTACATACATTTACACACGTTTAAAAGCGTTTAGAGTTTTATTTTTGGCCAAAACGTTCCTCTCCTGATTCTTCTGTGTTCTGGAGAAGGACGTTTAACTGCCTCTGAACTCTGCTGCTGCTAAAAGCCTATGTGTGCATGGACTGGACACAGACTTTTATTGAGATGAGTTCAGGGGCTTTCGTAAAAAAATGCCAAAAGCTCCAAAATTCATGTTTAGGAGCAACAGTGTACATGAGGCCTTAGTAGTGATCTAGAAACATGGAAAGGTGCTTGTAGTAGTGTCAGGGCTTAACCGTTCAGAGATGATCATACAGGGACCTGTATGGTAAAAGATATTTTCAGCTGTGGCAAGGCACCATGTTCTGGTGAATACATACTTTGGTGTTGAGGTAAGCAATACAGGCGGTCATTGGATTGTAGACACAGAAATTAGCAGTATCATTTTGTAGTGTCCTGGGGACAACTGCTACATATGCTCCTAATTGCTTACATAACTTTGCAGACCAAACACAACTGAAAATATCAAATGATACCAATCCATAACTGTAGCACAGAGTCCTGCTGATGAACCTGCATTTTGCTGACAGTCCATGAATAAGGCAGTCTATAGATTTTCAACGGTAAAAGGATGTAAAGTCATGATACAACTGCCATTGGGGAAGTCAATCTTCTAAGCACTGTAAAATGATCCAAAAACTTGTACGGTTGGCTTCTCATCTCAGATTTATGATGAGTGCCAAGCGGAGGTGGTGGGAGATACACACTGACACTGTCAGTGCGGAGATGGTGAGAGGTGCTGGCAGATGCTGCCAGTGTGGATAGGTGCAGACAATCAGTGCCGGATTTATAAGAGGGCAAAAGGGGCAATTGCCTATAGCCCCCCTGCCGGAGGGGGCCCCAGACTTCCTCTATAAAAAGATGCAATCATTATAAAACTATTTTTTTATTAAAAAAACATAAAGTGTGTGTGGGAGTCAGGATACGGAACAGTTAGGTCTGACTTCAGAGGCAAAGTAAGGGATGAGGGCTTCTGGCAGATGTTTTACATTTCTTCTTCTCATTATTTTACTATTGAGATGTCTGTTTTAACATGACTGTGTGGCAGAATTTATTGCTTTGTTCTGGAGACACAAGTTAATGGGACAAGAGAAAAGTTCAAAAATTGATGGAAAGTGCCAGACAACAACCCTGACCCCATTGTATGGGAGTGAAGTTAATGACCAGCATCGATTTATTGCAGTGAGAAACATGAGAGAGAAGCTTACTCCCCTGCTTGACTTAGTTTGGGTCAAGGGGCGAATCCGACACTCCACGATCTTGAATAGGGTAGACCTAAAATTATGAGATTGGTCGAATCTGGGACAGGTGTGGCCCTGGATCAGAAAAACAAATCAGACAAGTGTCTTTGTCAGCACCTAATTTAACCTACCTTAAATTATAAGTTCACCTTTTGGACAAAAATAATAAATACACATTTTGTTGTAAAAAAATGTGCATTTATTATTTTTGTCCAAAGGAGCCTGTAAATCACTGAACCAGTGATCAGTAGATCGCTGGTGCCATGCAGGTCTCCTGCAGACCTGTCAGAATACCTGCTTACCGTATGGGATGTACGGGCAAGCAGATATACTGACAGGAGCCTTCAATGAACTACCACGGCGCTCCACAGCGCTGTGGTAGTTCACTGAAAACTACAAGCCCACAGCCGCTAAGGCTGCCGGGACTTGTAGGCACTCATTCACAGAACACTGTGAATGAGTGATGCGGCCATATGGGTGGAGCCCTGTATGGCCGCGCGGTTTTCAAATCTGACAGTTAGTACATGTTCCAAAGGTGAACTTATCCTTTAAACTAGAATAAATGTGGTTTATCATTTTTTTCAGTTAATTTTTCATCTGTCATATTGTTTCATTTCTATGTCGAGAGGCCCCCGAACTGGAAGTGATCTGGGCCCCCCAAGGTCTAAATCCAGCACTGCAAACACTGCCAGCACCACTTATCTTGTTGGAAAAAATAGCAATTGCCACAAGCTCTTTGACTTCTCTATCTACCCACTCCTATAGACAGGAGATTGTTGAGTCCTTCTTTTCACAGGGCATTGAGTTGCTTGAGAAGGCATTGGAGATGATTCTACTTTACAGATAATCTGATATATTCTGGTCAGTACTGTGCATCCTAGACCTCGAAGAATCTGTAATGACAGTGTGTATATTCTAGTAGTCTAGTAGATAGAACAGAAATACAATCTAATAGGCCCATAAGGAGGAACAGAGGTGCAAAACCTGCCTCCTCTTCTAAGTCCTCATCTGGCAACGTTTATAGCAAAGAGTGAACTAATGCTGTTAATTATTGCACACCTGAATGTTGCACTGTCTGTACATGTATCATATATGTATTTCTATGTAAGTAGAAAGCAGCATCAGCACACTCTGGGAATAAAAACTGTGCCTGGACAGGAATGGGTAAAGCAGGTTCTTCAGGCTTGGTAGCTAGTGAGGAACCCTTCAAGACTTTAAACCCAAAGATTTTGCATGGGCTATTATAGCAGCAGTTAGGCCTCAGTTACTAGAACACTCTGCTTTTTAGCCCTTTCCCAATAGCGTGAAAAGAATTGTTTTGGTAAATAGGAAACTACTAAAGAAAGAACCATTCAATTCTACCTGTACTCAATATTTAAGTATACTCTTTGCTTATGGAGCTCTTGCTCAAGCACCTGAAGCCAGATTATTCAGTAAGAGCTTTAAAGCAGCTAGTCTTCTAAACAACTGTTGATCCTGTGAACTAAGGGAAATTCACATACTAAGACAATACAAACAGCTAAGTTCAGGGATCTGCCTGATGCCACCTTTGATGAAAGTCTTCTTTATGAATCAGGTGTGTAGAACTTTCTTTCCTGCAAGTGACAAGTGTAAGAAACATCTTTAAACATACACATACATGAACCTTGAAAAGACAAGGCATCTTGGTACATCAATACGCAGCTGTCTTGATAACTGTTTCGACCATTTTTAACAATGTTGTGGGCTTATGAAAGGCTGACAACACTTTCAGGATTTAGTAGTACAAGTTGAGTTAACTCTTTTCTGTCAGAGCAATATGCAGTGCATTGACATCTCTGGCAATTTAAGAGTTAACAGATCTAAGTTCTAGCAGCAGAGAGGGAGAGGCCTCAAAAGAATGAAAAAAATAAGTACTACACAAAATGCCATGTCTCAGTATTTTGGCAGTGACTGGGTGAGGAGTAAAAATAAGACCATATAAAGTTCTGGGGTCAAAAATGGGGGAATCTAGGTGTGAGTCAAAGTGCTGGAATACTTTAGGTTATAAAGGATCAGAACGCAGCCGTTGCCCCCAACTCTAAGTGACGGCACAACGAGCACAGTGCGAGCGGTCCCCAGGAGAGGCATCTGCCAACTAAGCCAAAGCCGCAAAACGAGGCTAATGGAGAAAAAATTTTGTGCAGCCCTGTTTTAAGTATGAGGTGCGGAAGACGGGGCTACTGGTCCCAGAATGGGAAAAAGGTATTCATAAGTACAACTCATGAGGAAAATCCCATTTTGCGGCCTTGGGTTAGGAAGCAGTGGAGGAGACATTGGGTGGCCAGGCTTAGCTGCCCCTAGGACCATTACATAGCCACCTACATTCTGCATCATTTATTAATGTCTTTCCCTGCTCCTGCAGTCTGTTCATTTTTCTCCTCCTCATTCTCTCTACTTTTCATTCACTTCTCTCCTTTGTTTTTCAGTCCTCTTTACGTTCTAGAGTCTGTGCTGCATGGATGCCATTGCTGTACACCGGAAATGGGAGGGAGGAGAATATCCCCTCGGCTGTAGTGAAGACACTGGCAGCAGGCACCTGGGTAAGACCAGCACCTGACACAGCTCCTCCAAATGGGCCAGACATATTAAGTCGGTGGACATGATGGTACAGCATCTCCATTGGGGTCTTGGGGTCCAAACCAAAACTTGGGCCATTTACATCAACAAAGTTCACAGGATGAGCATTGGGCAGCAGGTTGCCTTGCATGGCCAGAGTCACCTCAGCTGGGGCATAGCGAATGGTGCCTGTAGTATACACCCTCTGTCCACTGCTTCCTGTGGCTGCAAGGGTTCCTGCCACACGATGCACAAGAGGAAGGACCACGTTGCCTGCCTGAAGCCTCTGTAGTGCTTCCAGCTCACCTGCGTACAGAAGGGAGTTTGATGGGCCACCTGTTTGGGGAGGTTTTTCTCGAGGAGAGGCAGACAGAGGAGGTGAAAGAGGGTCAGAGTTGACAGGGCCTAAGCCCCCTGAGGATCCAGAGTATTGCGCTTTGCTGCGTCCAGCTCCCTCAGCCCCACCTGGGGGTGTGAGAACAGAGTCTGGTATGGAAACATGGAGGGCTGGAGGGGCAGCAGCAGTGGAAGATGGGGAAGGGGAGAAATGTTCGCCTCCTGTAGGAGGCTTGGTCATACTATAAGGGGATTCATTTCGTGAGATCTCTCGATTAGGTGGGAAGTTCCAAATACTGCTGTCATTATCAAAGTTAATAGGCTCTGTCATTTCTGTCTTAATCTTTAGCACAGATGAAGAACAGCTTCCAGTTGGCGGGGGGGTGGAAGGGAGCAATCTTGGGGGATCCCCCAATGTGGTTTCTAGCCCACTAGGACTAGATCCTCCAGACAGACGTCTCCTACGGCCTCCACATGGTCCCAAACCCTTTCTCCTTCTCCTTTTCCTTCGCTGATGTCTGCTTAGAACACCAGTAACACGCACACCTGCGTCTTCCTCTTCATCTTCCTCCTCTTCCCCACTCTCAGAGTCTTTGGCGCTATCAGAGCTCAAAGATTCAGGTCCACGCATATCTGTTTCACTCTCTGTGTAACGTTCTACTTTAATGTGCATAGGGCCCAATGCTCCTAGAGAGCCAATAGCCCCTAATGCACCCAAACCCCCTTGCTCTATCTCCTCTTCTGTTTTCCTCACTTCACAGTCTTCGCTTTCTTCACTTTCTTCACTGCAAGCATCACTTGAGCTGTTGGCCTCTTCATCACAGTTCATGTCTGGGTCAGAGTGGGGTCTTGGTTGCTTGTGATCAGGCTCTGGGTCTTCACTCTGCTCAGAAAGGTTCCCTTTTCCATCTGACTTCGGATTATCATTATCCTCTATAAAGATTAACAACATAGATTAATATTATGTTACATTCTTAAGCCGGCATAAAATTAACTGGAATTAATTATATTTAGCACCAATGTGATTTCACAAAGAACAAATATTTTTGTTACAAAGTCCGTTAACTTAAAAATGTAAATTTAAGTATCTTTTGCACATGGCCCTTGCCTTTCATTACACAATTGTATTTAAAGAGTGACTTTTGTAAAAAAATAAAAATAAAATACATATACACACACACATATATATATATATATATATATATATATTACACATACATATAAATAAATGAATGTATACTTACCTGCTCAGTGCAACCATATTGCACAGAGCAGTCCCTTACCTTCAGTTTTGGAGTCCCCTGCCAGTGCTGTCTGCTCCTTTTTCCTTAGGCGCTCCTTCAGCAAGCCATGTGCTAAGGAGGCATCTGTTCATGCACACTCATGAGCCAGGCTGTACGCATCCATAGACACACACAGCACCAGTAAGCCACGCCCCCTCTCACTCCTCACAGGAGATTGACCGACAGCAGCAGGAGCCAATGTCTCTACTGCCCTCAGTGTCCCCTTTGAGACCAGGAAGAGAGGAGAGCACTGCTTCAGCCGGAACAGCGTTTGATCGGTGAAAAGAGCCAGGTAAGTGTTAGGGATGAGAGCGGCTAGAACAGGTAGTAGGGAATTTTTTACCCTAATGCAGGGAATGCATTAAGTTGAAAAACGTTTTGACTTTAGAACCACTTTAAAGTGACACTAAATGACATCCTTTTACTGTATATAGGCACGTCTGTAAGGTTTATATGCTTGTATCCAGTATATATTTTATATGTTGTATATATAATTGATGTACAATCCTTATTGTAATTTAGTTTCAGTAAATATATCTTTCTATTTTAATATGCTACCAACTATGATTGTCTATGGTCTCTTTCAAACAGGCTGCTGGGGAAAGGGGGGTAAAAACTGCAGTTTGAATTGTGGTTTTACTGCTTTTGCCCTACGGTTCCTCACCTGAATTGTAGATTAACAGCCACATGGGGCTCTTCACATGTCACAGCAGCAATGCTTCCCACCATGGCCACGGCATTTTTAACTAGGAGTGGAGTTTGACAAACAGCACCGCTTTTTAAAATCGCCCTTTAAGTTAAATAATGTCTCTTCACTGTCTGTCAAATGCCCTCTAAAAAGTGGTCTGAATGCGGATTGATCTTCAGAGGGCACCACACTTCACTGTGAGAGTGTGAAAAAGCCCTAAAGCTAGCAAAAAACAAAGGATTCAAACATGGCTTGCATGCACAGAAGCATTCTGTATACTGTTGTTGAACAGAACTCCTCCAGACATCTAATTTCCTGCTCAAGTGCTGTTCTCAGTATTCTCAAGTAGGATGTGGCTGCAGAAAGTAGCATTGCATTTAACTGGCCAAACAAGGTCAAAATCTAGTAGTAGTTATGTTCGAATGTAATTTTGTAGACGTTTTACAGCTTATCCAAATCATTTCTTTGGTTTTAGTGCCAGAAACATACCCTATCCAGCTTGTTTGGCTGTACTTCTCCTGTGGATCACAGGAGTGCAGTTCGTGCTGCACTCCTGTGACCTGTGGGCTAAAGTCCACCGTTGGGTGACGTCACTCAGCCGGTCCAGGCTGGGGAAAGATCCTGACTTTAAAGTTGGGATCCACCCAGATCCCTGGACTGGCACCTGGCTCAGCCTCTCAGAGACCTGCTGAGAGCATGAGGACACCGCTCCCTCCACCTCCACAGCCCAGCACTCCAGTGAGTGCGGGGGGTGGTGGTGTTTGGCCAGAGCAGAGAGTCGGAGATTAACAGTCACCAGCTCTCTGCTCACGGATCACTGACAACTGAATGATCAGCAGTATTTGATTGCTCAGTTCTCAGTCTTAGAGTCAGCAGGGGACAGATGCTGCATCAGACCGATGCCGCATCCACCTAGGTAAGTATGATTTCTGAAAAAAAAAGCTCAACTTCTCTTTTACGTTGACTGTGCTACCTGTGTGGATATAAATACTGGGGCCGCATCCACCTAGGCAAGTATGATTTCTGAAAAAAAAGCTCAACTTCTCTTTTACGTTGACTGTGCTACCTGTGTGGATAGAAATGCTGGGGTAAGCTCCTAACATTCAATGTGGTATGTGAATGTGTGTCCATGTACTACCTGGTAAGCAGAGGGTATGTCCTTTTTGCCACTTTAAAAAAAGCAGCCATTACGAGGAAATCTGTGGTTATATTCCTGGAAATTCCCATGATATGCTTTAGAATTTACCTGATAACCTATCTAAATAAAACAGTAGTTCCATATCTACTATTTGGTAGATGGTATTATTTCTTCTTTTAATTTGTAGCCAACATCTGATCAGGGGATAAAGTACAGAGGTGTCAGAAATAGAAACCAAAAATGTTCTAGATGTAATTCTCTTGTACAGTTTTCAAAACAGAACACCAACATATCCACATACTTTGGCAGCAATAACAATTCCAGGAGCCAAATGTACAGATAGTATATTCATTGCTATCATGTTAATGTACAAATTAGAATATTGACTATGTTTGGCATCTACAGCAACATTTTATTGTGATGCATTGTTAGCAATAAAGTGCACCATAACCACAAAGCAAACAGCTTACTTTTGTGGCATACCTATATAAGAGAACATCTCAGTTAGTAACAGTTTACAATACATACAGTATCTGCCTCACCTGAATTATCCTTGGAGTCTGAATCTGAGTCAGAAGTCTCAGAGGATTCTGATGTCTTTTCAGGCAAATGTGGCAGCTGAGCAATGTCCATCGGAATGTCCTTGTATTCTAGTAAACTAAACCAAATAAAAAAGATTTATTATTGACATGAAATCCTCAAACCACCATTAAACTAATAGCTTTAAAGCCATGCAAATAACAGGTCACATAATTATGAAAAAAGAGACATAACAAAGATAACCAAGGCCACCAACTGACAAGGTTTCAGTATTTTTTTTTTCCACAGACACAGTGAACAGCTCAGACCTTACTATTTATTGAATAGAAGAATAAATCCACTCATAATACACCTACAACATTCCTGATCAGAGCACTAAGGAAAGGGGGTGACCCCGAATTGCATCAGTGGTGGTGAGAAGTTATACAGGGGTAAGAGAAGCATATGTTCTGTCTTATAGTGCTTCTTCCTTTAACTCAGGGGTCTCCAAACTCTCTAAACAAAGGTCCAGTTTACTGTCCTTCATACTTTAGGGGGGCCAGATTGAGGCCAGTGGGGTAGAAAATGTACCTGTTTCAATGGGAATAAAAAATGCCTTAAATTTGCAGGTCAGTGCTAGCAAATAAATTATATTATGTCTGTGGTCAATAGGAGAAGAAATAGTGCCCATTGTTAGTACTAGTAGGAGGAATAGTGCCCCATCATTGGTATCAATGGGAGGAATAGGGCCCATCATTGGTGTAAATGGGAGGAATAGTGCCCCATCATTGGTGTCAGTGGGAGGAATAGTGCCCCATCATTGGTATCAATGGGAGGAATGGTGCCCCATTATTGGTATCAATGGGCGGAATAGTGCCCCATCATTGGTATCAATGGGAGGAATTGTGCCCCATCATTGGTGTCAGTGATGGAATAGTGCCCCATGAGGAATAGTGCCCCATCATTGGTATCAATGAGAGGAATAGTGCCCATCATTGGTGTCAATGGGAGGAATAGTGCCCCATCATTGGTATCAATGGGAGGAATAGTGCCCCATCATTGGTATCAATGGGAGGAATAGTGCCCCATCATTGGTATCAATGGGAGGAATAGTGCCCCATCATTGGTATCAGTGATGGAATAATGTCCCATGAGGAATAGTGCCCCATCATTGGTATCAATGGGAGGAATAGTGCCCCATCATTGTATCAGTGATGGAATGTCCCATGAGGAATAGTGCACCATCATTGGTATCAATGGGAGGAATAGTGCCCCATCATTGGTATCAGTGATGGAATAATGTCCCATGAGGAATAGTACCCCATCATTGGTATCAATGGGAGGAATAGTGCCCCATCATTGGTATCAGTGATGGAATAATGTCCCATGAGGAATAGTGCCCCATCATTGGTATCAATGGGAAGAATAGTGCCTCATATCTGTGGGAGGAATAGATATCCCAAGGGCTGGATAAAGGCTAGCAAAGGGCCACAGTTTGGAGACCACTGCCTTAGCTGAAAGCTGATCCTTCAACTACACATCAAGGGATTCTTTTCTTGTGCCAGCTACATGAGAAACTTGCTTTGGGATTGGTTTTGCTTTACTGCTTCTGGCTGGGGGTTTTATGCTTATTTATCGTGTGCTCTCAGGATCTTTTTAAATGAAGTATAATCAGTTTTATTCACTTATTCATTCAATCGCATGAGCTGCTTTTACAGCTTCTGAGTACCCTGTGTATTTTTAGAGTCTGTGAAATATATTATAAGGATCAGTTGTATTAACTTGAGCAATTTAATTGGCTGTCAAATGGTTGCGAGGTCCAGTGGTGAACATGTTTTCTCAGTTTGATTTGTAAAAATGTTTCTTTAGATCAAACTAGCTGTCTTTTTAATGTATATGAATTAACACTATACCCTTTGTGATCTGGCTAATGAGTTACGGAATATAGGACTAGACAGATCAAAACTGCATAAGTATAGGTCTCCCTAAAGTCTCACAGTGTATAATAAATATAGTGCCATTGGAAGAATCCAGGTGTCAGATGGTTATGTGTGGGTCACACTCTCCTGGACCAATGCGAAGGTCACTGAGTTGGCTACATGGACAGAGAATTAGATGCAACCTAAGGGAGGTGCATGGCTGGGTATAGGGCTTCATGTCTAAAAAAATATATAGGTTTATACTTAGGTTGACAAAAAGTAAAGTTTATCTCATTCAAATTTCAATTCCTAGCTACAGAGGACACAAACTACTAGAAAAGTGCATAGCAATGTATGAAAACAGATAACACATATCAATTTTTATAATATTCAGGATTGTAGCAGTGACTCATACAGTATGTTTTATCTACTGTCAGGATGTGAAATTCTTCTGGAAGACACTTCTGTAATCTGCTTGACCAGAGCAAGCATGACAGAATTTCATTCTGTAATAATTTGGGACAGCAGGATGACTGTCAGTGCAAATTTATATATCGTTTGAAGAAACTACCACCACAATGGTACATCTGCCATGACATTTCATAAAGATTCACAAGTGTGAAGGCTTGGTTTTGCTTGTTGCCAACAGTGTCACTCCAAATCATTACCGAATAACAATTTTACTTCGGTAAGGCAAATTCTAGATTCAGGCAAAAGCGAAATATATATGGTCATGACCTTATTATAAATACATGAAAACATATTGTGGTAACATTTTCTAGTACCTGCAAAGATCTGACTACATCCTGAATATGCAAAAACCACAAAAATCAGTTGTTGGTGAACGAGTCATGGCTTGTTTCTCAGTGGAGGAAAGCTGGGAGTTGTGTACATTTTTGGTACATGCCAACCACTGTTATAGGTCATTTTCTTTTTTCAACAGTGTTGTAGAGTGTGTAGAGTCATGGATCAAATACTTTTTACATACATAGCTCCATGTAGTGGTTAGCGTATTCTAAGAAGGCAAGTCTCATATTTTGGATTGACTCTGCAGCTGTAAAGTACTAAGTAGGTGTAGTAACCATGGAGCAACACTTGATGTTCTTTTTTACATCTCAGTGACTAATGAAACCAAGGGGTAGATTTACTACAAATGGAGTAGATTTACTAAAAATAAAGTACTATGTAGGTGTAGTAACCATGGAGCAACACTCAATATTCTTTTTCTACATCTCAGTGACTAATGAAACCATGGGGTAGATTTACTAAAAATGGAACACTCCGAATCTGGTTCAGCTGTACATGGTAGCCAATCAGCTTGTTCAATTAAGCTTTGATAATAAAACCTGGAAGCTGATTGGTGTCTATGCACAGCTGCACCAGATTTTGCACATTCCAGTTTTAGTAAATCTCCCCCAGTAAGTATCACCATGTTCTCTATACAACTGTTACATGACATCGATGAAAATGAAGAGCAGGGAAATGTTTGGACTCACTGCATTAAATCTGATTTATAATAAAAAACTTATTAAACTGGCTTTGCGCTTTCTTCATTTTTACAGGGGTTTTGATTTTTCAGCTCCTGCCCTTTTCTAACCTTCTCTGAGGAGATTAAGGGCACTGCCATGTCAGTGATGATGCCACACATAGAGGTTGAATGCCATCTGTGCTGAGTTTGGTGGAGCTTGTATCGGAGGGATGAGGTTACCTGAGGATATAGTTGACCCAGATGATGTTCCTCTCATTAGCATTCTTGGCATTGATTGCGATGGTTGCACAGGACTGCACCCAAATGTAGCCACCATTCTTCTGCATCCACCGATAATACTTGGTCACACACTGGCCCTTGTTCAACACTGAAAGGAAAGAAAAGTTCTGAGATCTGCTTCAGTAACAGTTATGAGTCTGATCTGGTGCTATTTGTTATTATAGGTTATGGGTTTTTATACTTAACAACCAAGGTCTCATGTATGAAAGTGTCTGAAGAAAGAACTATCTGCACTGCCCACGCCAACCAGTTATATTCTTCTTCTTTTCATCTTTACAGAGTAGGTTGGAAAATAAAAAAAATGTGATTTGCTGCCATGGGGAAGCGCTAGAAGTCCTTTTTTTCAAACAAGTTTATGAATGAGGTGCATTTCAGCTGATATACGTATAATGTAACAGAACTCAGAAGTACCGTAACTGTTCACAGAAATTATCTGAAATGACCTTCAATGACCTCCATTTGCTACAATCATGAATACACTAAAATGATTACATTCTAATATATGGAATCACATTAAATGACCAGCTGAACTTTCAATTTAAATCACTTAAAAGCATACCAAGTGTATAAAAAATGTGCAAAGATATAAATTTAGTTTTCTTCATAAAGCAGCCACAACCTGAGTAAAATAGACTGTCTGCTGCCAGCATGCTGCACAAAGACCCTCTGTGTGAAAGCAGTGGTCTCTCTGCAAGGCCTATAGCTCTGCAATCAGCACACTTATGTTTCCTGCCAATTGGACAGCTCTAGCTCTCTGACTGCAGCATGCTGGCAAGGGAACAAAGATAGGGTTGCTTGCTAAAGAAAACCCACTGTACACTTTTGCACACCTTGATACATCTGCAATGTATTTAGCTTACTGAAAGTTCAGTTGGGCGATAAATGACCAAAAAAGTATGTATGTATGTATGTGAGATAGGGACCCTAGACTGTAAGTTCCTTGAGTGCAGGAACTGAAGTGAATGCACAGTGTGAAAAGTGCTGTGTGCATTGTCTGGACTCTGGAGGGTACCCCATTTTGGGGAGAACTGTGGGTAGTGGTGGTGGGGGAGGTTGTTTATTGGAGTAAAAAATGCTGGTTTCTGTTTCTGAGCCATGTCAAACTCTCAATAAAACTATTTGAATTTTTTAAAAATCTTGGGACTATATAAATGTCTTTAACAAATAAACTGATGTGGGGGGGGGGGGGTTTACAGGCAGTATTCCTATTCCTGGAGTGTCCTGATTAGTAGAGAGGCATGCTGTATTACTCAAAACAGGGCAGAATAGTGAGCGATGTCACACCGGAGCCTCCCCTGAACCTGGGTGTCCATAGGGTTATCACTAGGGCTAAGGCCGGAAGTATTCTCCAGTCACTAGAGAAGGTCATAGTGCTACCATGGTTGCAGTGTTGGATCAGGGAAGTCTTTCTGGGGATCCTTCTTGGTCTCAGGACAATTAGTACTAGTGAGCTCCCCACCACCCACAAGGGAAACGTTAAAAACAAAAAGATGCATATGGGGCTTGAGCTTGGGGCCATTGAGGAGTGTTGCTTGGGTGTGGACCAGGGTGGAGGGTCTGCCAGGTAGGTTGTACAGGGGCTCCTTTCTAATGGCAAGCCTGCTCATAAATACTATATGCGCGTATGCAAAAAGCCTGATGGTGCCCATAAAGTGAATATGATCAATATTGACCAATTTATCTACAACCAATTTAAGTGAGAAATTTTTCTACAACCAATTTAAGTGAGAAACAGGCCGCACAATTTGTAGCATGAATGTTGTAACCAAGCAATTATTTTTCACTTTAATTTTTTTTTCAATATTTAAAAAAAAAAAATGGCTGAAACACAGAGGATTGTTGTAATTATGTATTTAGATAAATCAAGTGAGCAAACACATTTATGACATCACCTAAAGAACCTACAGTCAGGTCCATAAATATTGGGGCATCAACACAATTCTAACATTTTTGGCTCTATACATCGCCACAATGGATTTAAAATGAAACGAACAAGATGTGCTTTAACTGCAGACTGTCAGCTTTAATTTGAGGGTATTTACATCCAAATCAGGTGAACAGTGTAGGAATTACAACAGTTTGCATATGTGCCTCCCACTTGTTAAGGGACCAAAAGTAATGGAACAATTGGCTTCTCAGCTGTTCCATGGCCAGGTGTGTGTTATTCCCTCATTATCCCAATTACAATGAGCAGATAAAAGGTCCAGAGTTCAATTCAAGTGTGCTATTTGCATTTGGAATCTGTTGCTGTCAACTCTCAAGATGAGATCCAAAGAGCTGTCACTATCAGTGGAGCAAGCCATCATTAGGTTGAAAAAACAAAACAAACCCATCAGAGAGATAGCAAAAACATTAGGCGTGGCCAAAACAACTGTTTGGAACATTCTTAAAAAGAAGGAACGCACCAGTGAGCTCAGCAACACCAAAAGACCCGGAAAACAACTGTGGTGGATGACCGAAGAATTCTTTCCCTGGTGAAGAAAACACCCTTCACAACAGTTGGCCAGATCAAGGACACTCTCCAGGAGGTAGGTGTATGTGTGTCAGAGTCAACAATCAAGAGAAGACTTCACCAGAGTGAATACAGAGGGTTCACCACAAGATGTAAACCATTGGTGAGCCTCAGAAACAGGAAGGCCAGATTAGAGTTTGCCAAACGACATCTAAAAAAGCCTTCACAGTTCTGGAACAACATCCTATGGACAGATGAGACCGAGATCAACTTGTACCAGAGTGATGGGAAGAGAAGAGTATGGAGAAGGAAAGGAACTGCTCATGATCCTAAGCATACCACCTCATCAGTGAAGCATGGTGGTGGTAGTGTCATGGTGTGGGCATGTATGGCTGCCAATGGAACTGCTTCTCTTGTATTTATTGATGATGTGACTGCTGACAAAAGCAGCAGGATGAATTCTGAAGTGTTTCGGGAATATTATCTGCTCATATTCAGCCAAATGCTTCAGAACTCATTGGACGCCGCTTCACAGTGCAGATGGACAATGACCCAAAGCATACTGCAAAAGAAACCAAAGAGTTTTTTAAGGGAAAGAAGTGGAATGTTATGCAATGGCCAAGTCAATCACCTGACCTTAATCCAATTGAGCATGCATTTCACTTGCTGAAGACAAAACTGAAGGGAAAATGCCCCATGAACAAGCAGGAACTGAAGACAGTTGCAGTAGAGGCCTGGCAGAGCATCACCAGGGATGAAACCCAGCGTCTGGTGATGTCTATGCGTTCCAGACTTCAGGCTGTAATTGACTGCAAAGGATTTGCAACCAAGTATTAAAAAGTGAAAGTTTGATTTATGATTATTATTATTCTGTCCCATTACTTTGGTCCCTTAACAAGTGGGAGGCACATATGCAAATTATTGTAATTCCTACACCGTTCACCTGATTTGGATGTAAATACCCTCAAATTAAAGCTGACAGTCTGCAGTTAAAGCACATCTTGTTCGTTTCATTTCAAATCCATTGAGGTGGTGTATACAGCCAAAAATGTTAGAATTGTGTCGATGTCCCAATATTTATGGACCTGACTGTATTTAGCAAATTAATTAATCGATCTAAAAAAAAAGACCAAAAAATATTGCATGTGTGCATTTATCATAAGTTGCTGTAAAAAATTAAAGCATTACTTAAGGTATTTGTTATTATAAACAACAAATATGTTATATTTACCTGCTCTGTACAATAGTTTTGCATAGAGCGGCTTCAAACTATCTCTTCTGGGGTCCCCTTCCGGTGCTGTCCGCTCCTCCTCTTCTGGGTCTGCCCCCAGTGCAAGCCACTTGCTGTGGGGGCAGATGGTGTGGGCTCGCTCCCAAGCTGGGTTGTGTGCATCTTTAGACACACATAGTGTGGCTCAGCCCCTCCCCTGCCTCACTGGATTTGACTGATCGCAGCAATAGCCAATGGCTCCCACTGCTGCCTCCATGTGCAGTGCTTACGGGCACACCAATGCATCGAGATCAGGCTCAGGTAAGTATTTAGTGGGGGCTGGGGGGGGGCAAGCAACATTTGAAAGGTTTTTTTTTTTACCTTAATGCAAAGAATGATTTAAGACAAAAAACCTTTTGCCTTTAGAACCATTTTAAGCGCAGAAGTAGCAGGGACAGACAGCAGTGCATCTGATTGGAAGTACGAGGTACAGTCATACATTTAGAGACATCCAGAGAATGAGTTCAATGCTGAATACTACTGCAGCCAGGATAACACTCCAAGTCTCCCTCTCCTTGCCTGCCTGTTAGAGGTTATTTGAAGGTATTTGTGCAGCTTTGATCCCTGGGCTCATTTTGGGGATTCCAGTAGGTCAGAAAATACAGCACTTTCTTTTCATCTTGTCAGAGAGAATTTACAGCTCTCAGAAGAACAAAATCCCAGTCGGAAAGGTGGGGTGAGGGGGACCAGAGACCATAGAAGTTAATATGAGAAGACAGCAGAGGGGAAGATTTGTGTAAATGAGGGAAAAAGAAGAAAGTTGGAGAAATAAATGCAGTGATGATGATAAAATTGACTGAACAGGGAATGGATGTAGAGTTAAAAGAGAAAAGCATATTTGGGGTCATTTACAACGCTCATAAATAGCAATGGGTAAGTAATATAAAATTCGCTCCACTGGTGCTTCAGACGAGTGGGCCCCATTATTTGCTCCGCTGAACAAATATTCAATTTAGCTGGCAGTTTTAGAAAGCTGATGAGACGTGGTCCAAAAGCTACAGTGACACCCCCTGTGTGACATTACCACCTTAACGGTAATATATTGCTTTCATATTAGTCCACTCATGTCCAAGGCAGTGGGAATTCACCGTGGCTTTAAAAAATGTGATTTATCATTGGATTCTGCTAGTGGACTAGAGGTCACCAGGGGTTGGAGAACCTATGCTTGGAATATGGGTTTCTTGTGTGTGTGCCTGCTTCAGTCCCTGCCTGTGCCAGAAAGGAACCAGATTCACCCAACAACCCTGCTGGTACTGCACAGCTTTTGCAAGGAATATGTCCTGTCTGGGCCCTCTTCCTCTTGCACATGCATAGCATGGCCATGTTCATTCCTATGGATGAGCCATACTCATAGTGCCCTCCATCC